TATGAAGATTAGAACCAAATCAAGAAGTCTATTGCTACTAACACAAAGCAACTTGAAACAATGGTCAATGTTGAGCATGACCAAAAGAAGAGTGAGCAGATTGGGAATAAACTAAAGGGTGAGGAAGAAAAATAAGAGAATTCGACACAAGTGAGGAAGGACGAAAGAAAAATTAGTTTTTATGCAAAAGAGAGAGAAATCAAGAACGATTGTAATTCCAACAAAATGATGATCTTGTTTTTGCTTAAGGAAACATATTTTTCTAGCGCGAACCTTGATTCTTCTCTGTCTAGTGTAGCTGTTTCACTTTTGGAAGAGTTTGGTAATGTTTTCCCTGACAAAATGTGACCAGGTTTGCCACCAATTACAGGAATTGAGCATCAAATTGATTCTAATCCTTAAGCTCAAATTCCAAACCATCCGACTTACAGCAGCAGTCCTAAAGAAACTAAAGAATTACAATGGTAAGTAGAAGAGCTATTGGCTAAAGGACACATTCCTGAGAGTATGAGTCCATGTGCCGTACCAGTTTTACTAGTTCCTAAGAAAAATGGAACATGGAGAATGTGTGTTGATTGTCTAGCCATCAATAAGATAATAGTAAAGTATCGACGCCCTATTCCTCGATTAGATGACATGCTTGATGAACTACATGGGTCCACTATTTTTACTGAAATTGACTTGAAAAGTGGTCATCATAAAATTCGCATGAAAGAAGGAGATGAGTGGAAAACAGCTTTTAAAACAAAACATGGATTATATGAGTAGTTAGTAATGCCTTTTTGCTTAACTAGTGCACCTAATACCTATATACGACTTATGAATCATGTCTTGCATGCTTATATTAGAAAATTTGTTGTTGTATATTTTGATGACATCTTATTTTACAGCAAAAACTGGTTTGATCATATTGATCATTTGAGATGTGTGCTTAAAGTCGTAAGACAAGAAGAGTTATATAGCAACTTAAAGAAGCGCACGTTCTGTTTGGATAGAGTACTTTTCCTTGATTTTATTATAAGTGCTAGGAGTGTTGAGGTGGATGAAGAGAAAGTTAAAGCCATCAAAGAATGGCCCACACCAACATTCGTTTTAGATGAAAGAAGTTTCCACGGTTTAGCTGGATTTTACCGGAGATTTGTGAAGAATTTTAACACAATTACAGTTCCTTTAACCGAAATCATCAAAAAAGATGTCGACTTCAAGTGGGGAGAAGCACAAGAAAGAGCGTTTCACATCTTGAAAGAAAAGCTAAGTTTCACCCCATTATTACTTCTACCCGATTTTTCTAAAATCTTTCAAATTGAGCGTGATGCTCGTGGTATTGGTATTGGTATTGGTATTGGTGCCGTTCTGATGAAGACAAACTGTCTTCATTGCTTACTTTAGCGAAAAACTCAATGGTGCAACTATGAATTATTCAAACATGACAAAGAGCTATATGCCTTAATGAAAGCATTGGAGATGTAGCAGCATTATTTGTGGTCCAAAGAGTTTGTCATCCATACAGATCACGAATCGTTAAAGCATTTAAAGGGCCAAGGTAGGCTGAATCATAGGCATGCCCGTTGGATGAAGTTCATTGAGATGTTTCCATTTGTGATTCAATACAAATAAGGTAAGGACAATGTAGTAGTTGATGATTTGTCAAGCAAGTATGTTCTTGTTTCTACTCTTAGTGCTAAATTCCTAGGATTTGAGCATATTAAAGAGATTTATGAGAATGATTTAGATTTTGGTAGTGTTTTTGCTGCTTGTGAAAGGGGTACGTTTGAAAATTTTTATTAGAGCGACGATTACTTGTTTTGGGAAAACAAACTTTACATTCCTAAATGTTCTTTATGTGAATTGCTTGTGTGTGAATCACATAGGGGAGGCTTAATGGGGGCATTTTAGAATTTCTAAAACGTTGGATATGTTAAAAGAACATTTCTTTAGGCCTCATATGAAGCGAGATGTTGAGAAAAATCTGTTCTAGATGCATAACGTGTATGAAAGCAAAGACTAGGGTTAAACCACATGGATTATATATGCCTTTATCGGATCCTGCATACCTTTGGATTGATGTGTAAATGGTTGGGATGCTATATTTGTTTTGGTTGATCGATTTTCTAAAATGGCACACTTCATTCCTTGTAACAAAACCGACGACCCTACTCATGTGGCAAATTTATTCTTTTGTGAAGTAGTGCGTTTGATTTCTAAGTCACTTTTGGTGTGTTCTGTGGGGTAAGTTGTCACTTTTGGCATGTTTTGTGGGGTAAGTTGAGAACTTCTTTGTTATTTTCTAGTACTTGTCATCCCCAAACAGATGGTCAAATCGAAGTAGTAAATACAACTTTAGGAGCCTTGTTATGAGTTGTTCTTAAAAAGAATCTAAAGTCTTGGGAAGCTTGCATTCCTTTCATTGAATTTACATACAATAGGTCTGGTGCATTATTCTACAAAATTTTCACCTTTTGAGATTGTTTATGGTTTTAATCCACTAATTCCATTTATTTGTTGCCTCTACCTATTAATGAGATTGCTATCCTTGATGGAAAGCATAAGGCCGAGTTAGTAAAGAAGATTCATGAAAAAGTATGACAACGCATTTTGCACAACGAACAGGTTGCTAAACGAGCCAATAAAGGAAGAAAACAAGCCAATCACCTTTAGACCTCGTGATTGGGTTTGGGTTCATTTGCGCAAAGAGAGATTTCCTAATCGGTGGAATTCTAAGTTGTGTGGGGATAGACCATTCGAAGTTCTGGAGAAGATCAATGATAACACATACACGATTGATCTTCCCACTTATCATTAAGTTAGTTCTACCTTTAATGTGACTGACCTTTCTCCTTTTGATGTAGGTGCATATTCGAGAACGAATCCTTTTGAGGACAGAGGAAATGATATGGGACAGCTAGGAGGAATGGAATATGAAGAAAAGAAACGCATAAGCTTGAGGAAGGAACTCAAGATATGCTTGGAGAGGATGCACGAGGCATGGATGAGCTTGGAGAGGACGCACAAGGCATGGATTTTCAAATACCAACTGCCCTATAACAAAGTTCGGTCCAAAAAGCTACAAGAAGCCTTACAAGGCTTGGTAGGATGTACACTTGAAGAAGAGACCAAGTCTAAGGCTAACTCCAACTAGTTGGGCTTACAAGGAGGCCATGATCATCAATCTTATTCAAGTCGTGAAGGCTCAATTACATTGGGTTAAGTCATTTAGTTATTTTCTTTCCTAATAAGTTATTTGGACCTTATTTATTTAGTTTTGGGCCTAAACTCTTATAATATTATGTTAGGCCTTTGTTTTAATTATTTTAATTGTTTTGGGCCTATTTTGACCCAACTCATGTAGAGTGAATTCGAGAATTAAGGCTTTCTATTAAGTTTCCAAGCCAACTTAACATTATAAATAGGCTTTGAAACTCTCATTGTAACGGACAGTTTTGATGATAAACAATTGAGAGGATTTTTCGCCTACTTTGTTCTTCAGCAGCTTTACGAGAATTCCAAGTGCTAACTTGTGATTTCCAAACGTTTATAATATTGGTTTCTAGTTTTTTATAGCCACGGGGTCAATATTCTTTCTTTACCTTTGAATTCCTTGTTTGTGAATGATCTGGGTTTGTACTTCAACGTATTGTTGTCGGGTCTCGCGACGTTGTTCGTCGAGGTTTGCATCAGGAGTACTTTTCTTGCTTTCAAAGGAGAACTTTTTGACATGGTCTATTCGAAGGTACCAACTGAATCACTCTATGATGTTTAGGGTATTCGTGAGCAAAGCAAGGGACTAATTTCCGTTTTTGGTAAAAATGAATTTGTTTCATGTTATCTTTAGAATTTTAATTATGTTTCTATAAATGAAAATGTGTATTCATTCATTGTGAATGTCGAAAAAAATTTTGAAAATAGCATTCATTGCTCATTTTAGTAGAAGAAGGAACGAAAACAAAAGGGCATGATGAACGAGGAATTAAGCAACTTGCTTTGTGATGGTAGGTAAAGATTAATAAATAATGCAACTTATACGCAAAGAATCACACGATAGTTTACATACAGATAAATTGTCAAAAAGAGAGTACTGAAGTTTGAAATGCAAATATGAAGACCTAACTTAGATGGTCTAAAAGTTGAATCCATTCAACCTTTTGCTGACAGCTTCGAACAGTATGACTGAGTGCAGTCCCCCACTTCTGTTTGAAATGAAAACGAACATTTTGCATTTTAATGGGTCTGGATGATGCGTGTAAAATTATAAAATCCATTACTAGATAAAACTTAGGGTTTTGTTATCCGGTGTACAAATAGCAAAAACCTAAAACTTAATAGGCATGATCTTAGGCTGGTAGAGATCTTCGAACTTTTTCTACAGTGTATCAGCATGTTGGTTTCACCCACTTTTCTGATTATACTGTCTAAAAAATAGATAAAAATGGAACTCCAAGCATTTTCCTTCCATATGCACCAATCTTGCTGTCCATGATCCGTAATACTTTACCCTATATTTTAAGTTTCCATCTTGATTTTATTATCCTAGGGTAACTTCTTGCACGAACAGTTTTAAGTGCCATTTCTCTAATGGACCATGCTTTTGAATCTTGCCCACCCTTTATTCTACCTAAGAACCAACGAATTATTTTATAATCCAAACGAAATTAGTGCATGAATTAACGTTGAACAAGATTTTTCTCTTAATATAGTAGTAACCTATTTCGTCTTGTTTGGTCGTGCATACTAAACTTACCTGCAGGAAATTGTAGCTTTTTCTATATTCTTGTGCATTTGTCGTAAATGACAGCAGATTGATTTTGTCATAGTAGCTTTGACAAATTAGAATAATTCCACAGGTACTGGAAATTGTTGACAGAAATGCTACAGCTGTTGTGTTGGCAGCATTCGTAAGGTGCAATTCTGTGTTTGCTGTTTCAAAAACTTGTGAAAAACTACCGGGTGTTTTTCAAGAATTTTGTTGATTTTCTCTATACTTGCAGCAAAACTGGACAAAATAATGATAAATCGAGGAGTTAATGCAATAATATGGAAAACAATGTCCATCCTAATTGGCAAACCAATAAAATATAGGGACTCAAAGAGCCAAGAAAGGAAGATAAAAGCATGCGAGAGAAGATGGTAGAGTTACAATCGAGAGGGCAGCTATTCTAATTGATTCCAAGATTATATGGTATCAGAAAGTCAAGAAATTTTGTCCCAAAACTGAAACATAGAACAAATGCTCAACTCTGAAAACGACAAATGGTGGGGGTGTAGAAGAAAAATGAGAGAACTTGATGTACTGCAAAACCTGCAGCCAAGCTCAGTCTTCCAACTGGACATTCAAGACCTTGGCTTTTCCTTCTTCTCTTTAAAGAGTGCCAAAAGAGACACACCTGACACCTTCACAACCTTGAACCTGACTCCAGGAATGTCTCCGACAGCATGCCCCTTACGACCAAATCCAGCAATCAGCACCTCATCCTATTTCAATCAGATAAAACTTTTTCAAGTCAAGAAGATGATCAAGGAAGCACAATATGGATGTTAAATAAGCCAATGGCTGAAAAACTCATCACACTACTCACATTCTCTTCAATGTAGTTCAAGCAACCATCGTTGGGTACGAAGGCAGCAATCTTTTTCCCATTCTTAATCAGTTGCACTCGAGCACATTTTCTGATAGCAGAGTTAGGCTGCTTGGCTTCAATACCACTGAAATTCATTCACTAACAATATTTCAATCTTGGAGATGAGCTACAAACATAGGACAGTTTAAGGCTTTTCAAGAGGGGGGAAAAGATACAAGCAAATTCTTACATTTTCTCGAGAACGATCCCTTTTGCATGAGAGGAGCCCGCAAATGGCTTCTTCCACTCATTGCCAAGATGGGATTTCTTATAAGCCTTATCAGCCCACCTTTGCCTTCTACGGTGGGACTTTAGTTTGCGACCAGCTCCCATTCCACGTGTCTTCCTGCATAAAACAGTCAACAAAATGTAACTAGCAACTCCAAATATGAAAAGAAAATTAAAAGAAGCATCCCATATGCTGTAATTGTTGTAAGCCTAACACAGAAGTGCATAACAATTGACGAAGGACCTTGATAAAATTAAAATTCAAGTATACTAAGATAAAAGCAAGTGAAGCTATGCTGCATTGCTGCAGCAAACTCGTTATTACACATATGAAGATCTAGCCATACAACAAAATTTACTGTGATTTACATGCAATCAATTTCAATTGTTTGAATATAACTTCCAATTATACGGATAAGTCTCATACGGTACAAAGAATTTCCTACATCAAAGTTTATATATGTTACAGCCAACTATTCTGCCACTCCATTGACCAACTGGAATTCAGAATATTTAGATGGATGTTTGATGTTAGTCCATTAGCATTCAAAACTGCTCATTGCCCTTGAAAGGCTCTTCAGCTTTGCCAAGATGGACTGGCAAATTGGCAATAACTACTTCAATTCTAAAAAAGCAATCCTTTTAAAGAGAAACATTTCAAAGAAAGAAATATTCATGAATGCAAAACCATCATTTTTAACAGTAATTAAATGTTTCATTTCCACTGATCTGTAACTTCATAGCTTAAGAGAATCCAAGAACAGTTTGGATGTACATTGATTTTAGTCCATTAGCATTCAAAGCTACTCATCGCCCTTCGGAACGAGCTCTTCAGCTTTGCCAAGATGAACTGCAAATAACCATTTTCAACTTCACAAAAACCAATCCTTTTAAAGAGACAACACAGACTAGTTACTTCAAAAGAAATACTTATTGATTATACAACATATTATTTTTAATGGTTCCACATTTTTCATATGTTTCATCTCTACTGATCTGCAACTTCATAGCTTACGAGAAGCCAAGAACAGTTTAGACAGATTTGATTTTAGTCCATTAGCATTCAAAGCTGCTCATGGCCCTTCGAAAAGGGCTCTTCAGCTTTGCCAAGATGGCCTGTAAATATCTATTTTCAATTTCACATAATTGATCCTTTTAAAGAAAATACTTGTACGAAAGAATACTCTGGATTATATATAACATACCATTTTCAATGCTGATGTTTTTTAAATGTTTCATCTCCACTGGTCTGTAACTTCATAGCTTAAGAGAAGCCAAGAACAGTTTAGAGAGACGTTTGATTTTAGTCCATTAGCATTCAAAGCTGCTCATGGCCCTTTGAAAAGAGCTATTCAGCTTTGCCAAGATGGACTGTAAATAACTATTTTTAATTTCATAAAAGAGATCCCTTTAAAGAGAATAATTGTACGAAGAATACTCTGGAGTATATAACCTATCATTTTCAACGTCGATGCTTTTCAAATGTTTCATCTCTACTGATCTGCAACTTCATAGCTTAAGAGAAGCTAACAGTCTAGAGAGACATTTAATTTAAATCAATTATCATTCAAGGCTGCTCATCGCCCAGGGCTTTTCAGCTTTGCCAAGATGAACTCAAAAATTACCCACAGCTGTACCATCCTCTCTGCACCACCACTCCAATATCATTTTTATAATTTACAAAAATCACTATTCACAAACGAAAATGATATCACTAAGCATCCAATGCATCAAAAAAATTGTCCTTAACATTCATTTCAAACTAAGAAAAAACACTCAGGTCACTTTCAAAAACGAACAATAGAGAAAATTATCCGATTAACAAATTTCCATTAACTTCAGCTCAACAAGGTATATAAGGAGAAAAACATAATATTTTCCTGGCAGCATCTTTACAGGATGAAATTTTAGTTTACAAAACCACAAAAAACATTACAAAAACTCATAAGGCATTAACTTCCCACATCAATCTAATACTTCCGGGTAGAATACATAGCAAAATTATGCAAAAATGTGTATGTAATTGAATAAATTTGAAAAGATTTGTACCCCATGGTGGCGGATAAGTGGCTGCTCTCCGGCTATACGTTGGCTAATAGGGTTTGCAGTTGTGACCTTCTCTTGTGGAGCTACTATACCACTGATTGTGAAACCCTAAATCTGGGACGCCTTAAAAAGAAGATAGTTTAGCGTATTTTTGGCCCATATAATTGTTTTGGACCTGGCTTACATATCCAAAGAATTAAAAAGGCCTGTGATTGAAGTTTGGGAAAGATAATTTGTAAGATATGTGAATCCACCTGCCCAACGAATTTGTTGAGTGTTTGAGTTTATTTATGGTATGAAACAATTCACAGTATGGATCTAATTTATTATTGTCTATTTCAAAAGTAAGAAAAAAAGTTTCAAATTCCAAAAATCAGATATTCATTAAAATTTATTTATAATTTATTTAATAAATAATATATTTTATTAACTAAACAAATTAAGGTTACAGATCTATACAATTTGTTCATAGATTTACATTTTAATTAGTCACATATTATATTTTGATCATGAATCATAATCTTTTAACATCACAAATTATTTTAAGCCACAATTCAAAAATTTTACAGGTCACACTTTACTCATCGATCACAAATTAAAAATTTACACGTCACAATTGTGTTATAGGTCACAGATCACAGATACTATAATGTCACAACAATCACAAATTATTAATTTTTTTGGTCACATATTATTTTTTTTGTTACAATTTATCTTTTTATTGATCACATTGGTAATAGATTTACCAATTTAATGGTCACAATCAACCAAATAATCTGTGACCACCATCAACATTTGTGACGATCACCGCCACCAACACCACTGTCAAACGAATCAACACATTCATCTCGACAGACCACAGCCTCCAACATCTCACCATCACCCCACCTACTACCACAACCACCGCTAACCACTACCAAATCACCAGATTCGCCAAACATCACCAAACCATTAGATCTACTACCGTAGAGCTATCCACCATCTTACAACAGCCAATCAGCAACACTGCACACTGCCAGAGCAACCACCACGCTACCAATGCCACCGCACACTGCTAGAGCAACCGCCACGCCCAACCACCATCCCTACACAACATCGTAACCACGCACCACCACCTCTCTCCACAGCCCACGGCACCACACCAGCACAATATAGCCACACCACACAGCCCACAACACTAAACCACAACACACACAACACCACGTCCCATCGTCTCTCACATCCAGATGCATATCGCGATGGCGATGCCTGTGACAGTCACTGATTCACTTTGAGTGGCTTCGAGGAGAGTGAGGAGCGTGAAGGTAGATATGACACTGCTTCACTTCGACGACTGCTAGTGGCTTCGCTCCAACGCTGGTAGTCTAAGGTTGAGAAGTTCTCAGGGAGGCGACGAGAGAGTTGTTGAAAGGTGAGGCGGCGGTGAGAGGGGTTCCTAGTTTAGAGAGAGAACGAGAGGTAGGAAATGAATAAATTAGGGTTTGAAATTATTATTTATTAGATAGATTAATTAATTTTTATATTTGTTATTAATTAATAAAAGCTCTGATTTTTGAAATTATAAAGTTGAAATATGATTTTAGAACCCTAGATTTAACTCTAGAGTTTCCTATAATTTCCACTTGAAGTTTTTAAAAGAAGATAATTTAGTGGAAATTATATTTAAAAATCACACTTCAAAAATTAGATATGAAGTATATTTAACAAAAATAGGTGAACATTTAATATTTTAATATTAATAATTATATTATATATTAGTATATATAACTACATCCCCAACCCAATTAAACCCTCAAACCTTAAATCATTTCTATACATATTCTCTCTCTATCTTCTCACACTTTATTCTTCTCTCAACCCACTAGAGGAAGCTTGGCATTTTGAAGTGGAGACTGACTAGTAGCGATGGATCTCGAGCGAAAAGAAGGTGACAATAACGATGGCCGATGAATCCTGACCAGAGAATCATTTACTAAGATAAGAAGCATAGATGTCGTTGATCAGTTCATTGGGTCTGAGCTCAACTTGGGATACTAGTTTGACTTTGAGTTTTGGGTCTGTTTGAGAGTCATTTGGAGATGTGGTTCTTATTAGCGGTGGGTCTAACGGTGACGGTTGTGTTATGTTGGTCTTGTGGTGGTGGTCATGGTGGTGAAGGTGGCTAATGAGAAGAAGAGTGTTTGTGACCAACTATATAGTTGATTTGTGAGCAAGTTTTGGTAGTAGAGTGGGACAAGGGGTGGGGGTGAAGTGTTTGTGTATGTGTATGTGACTATCTGTTTGGTTATTTGTGACCAATTATTTAATTGTAACTTGAAAATTCGATAACTTGTAGATGAGAAATAATTTTTAAAAAACTAATTTGAAAATTTATGACCGTTAAATAAGTTGTGACCTATAAAAATTGTGATTTGTGATCAATAAATAAATTGTGACCTATAATATTTTTAATTTGTGATCGAAAAATAATTTATGATCAATTAATTTGATAATATGTAACTAATAAATAAGTTGTGACATATAAATACGTAACTGTGACCATTTATTGTACAATTGAGATCTTACTATATTTAATTAATAAAATATTTTTAATTATTTAGTTATCACTTGAGATTTGAAAATTTAAACTGTATGCTAATTTCAAAAAGTGTACAAGTGTATGGAGATCAAATCAAGCTGAAAAGTGAAGAAGACGAGAGAATAAGAGAGTCAGAAAAAAGGAGAAGCAATAGTGAAACCATCAATAAGAGAGAAAATAGTGAAGCGGCTGAGAGTGAAGAAAAGAGAGAGAAGCCACATGAGCAGAGAGAAAAGGAGTCAGCTGAGCGGAGAGAAAAGCCAAATGTCAACTTCTATACAAAAGAGAGTGAGTTGAAAAAGGCTATGAGCGATAATAGGCAAATGATATTGTTAGTGTACAAGGAGTCCCTCCTCAATTTCGAGGATTCTAACGCATCCCTCCCTAGTTTGGTTAAGTCTTTATTGCAAGAGTTCGACGATGTGTTTCCTGAAGAGATGCCAAGTGGATTGCCACCAATCAGAGGCATCGAGCATCATATTGACTTTGTACCCAGAGCTGTCATACCAAATCGACCAGCTTACCGAAGAAATTCCGAAGAGACGAAGGAGCTTCAAAGGCAAGTGGAGGAGTTGATGAGCAAATGTTATGTCAGGGAGAGCATAAGTCCATATGCTGTACCTGTTTTGCTGGTGCCTAAGAAGGACGGGACTTGGAGAATGTGCGTGGATTGCCGAGCTATCAACAATATTACGCAAAAGTATCGTCACCCAATACCTAGGCTAGATGATATGCTTGATGAGTTGCACGGTGCTTGCATTTTTAGTAAGATTGATCTTAAGAGTAGATATCATCAAATTCGCATGCGGGAGGGTGATGAATGGAAAATGGCGTTTAAGACTAAGTATGGATTGTATGAATGGTTAGTTATGCCGTTTGGACTCACTAATGCACCGAGCACTTTTATGCGTTTAATGAACCATGTTTTGCGTGCTTTTATTGGGAAATTTGTTGTAGTTTATTTTGATGACATCTTAATCTATAGCAAAAATCTAGATGAGCATTTAGAACATTTAAATTGTGTGCTTGTTGTGTTGTAAAAGGAACAACTATATGCTAATTTCAAAAAGTGCACATTTTGCATGGATATAGTTGTTTTCCTAGGATTTGTGGTTAGTGCTAACGGGGTGGAAGTCGATGAAGAAAAGATAAAAGCTATAAAGGAATGGCTAACACCTAAAACTATAACTGAAGTTAGGAGTTTTCATGGATTTGCTAGTTTTTATAGGCGATTTGTAAGAGATTTTAAAACCATCACCACACCGTTGACTGAAATAGTAAAGAAGAGTGTAGGTTTTCATTGGGGAGAATCTCAAGAAATTGCATTTAACACCATTAAGGATAAGCTATATAAAGCACTTGTTTTGGCATTACAAAATTTTGATAAAATATTCGAGGTTGAGTGTGATGCATCAGGAATAGGTATAGGAGCAGTGTTAATGTAGGAAAGGAGACCTATTGCTTACTTTAGCGAAAAGTTGAGTGAGGCAGCATTGAATTATCCGACATATGATAAGGAGCTGTATTTACTTGTTCGAGCATTGGAGACTTGGCAGCACTACTTATGGCCAAAGGAATTCGTGATACACACCGATCATGAATTTTTAAAGCATTTGCGAGGTCAAGGTAAGTTGAACAAAAGACATGCAAGATGGGTGGAGTTTATCGAGACATTTCCCTATGTCATCAAGTACAAACAAGGTAACGAAAATATAGTTGCTGATGTTGTCTCGAAGGTACGTGCTTTTAAATTCATTAAGTACTGAATTACTTGGTTTCGAGCATATTAAGGGCATGTATGAATCTGATTGTGATTTTTCTAGTATTTATGCTTCATGTTACAAATGTGCATTTGATAAATTCTATAGGCATGAAGGATATTTGTTTAGGGAAGATAAGTTGTGCATTCTTAATTGTTCTTTGTGTGAATTATTGGTAAGGGAAGCACATGGGGGTGGTTTAATGGGACACTTCGGGGTTCAAAAGACTTTAGACATGTTAGGGAAACATTTTTATTGGCCTAAAATGCGACATGACGTAGAACAAATATGTGGAAAGTGCATAACTTGTAAAAATGCTAAGTTTAAGGTTCAATTCCATGGTTTGTATACTCCCTTGCCTGTACCTAGTGAACCTTGGGTAGACATATCTATGGATTTTGTGTTAGGTTTGCCTAGGACAAAAAGGGGTTCAGGATTCAATATTTGTAGTGGTTGATAGGTTTATTAAGATGGCGCACTTCATACCGTGTCATAAAACTGACGATGCTACTAATATTGCAGACTTATTCTTTAGCGAAATAGTACATTTACATGGAGTACCTAAAAGTATAGTGTTTGATAGGGACATGAAGTTTTTGAGTTATTTTTGGCGTGTTCTATGGAGTAAGTTAGGAACTAAATTATTATTTTCTACAACTTGTCACTCACAAACAGATGGACAAACTGAGGTAGTTAATCGAACTATGACTCAACTACTTAGGAGAGTGATCAATAAAAATCTGAAATCATGGGAAGAGTGTTTACCGTTTATAGAGTTTGC